CACCATGTGGTTGCTGGGATTTGAACTCAGGACCTTTGGAAGAGCAGGCAATGCTCTTAACCACTGAGCCATCTCTCCAGCCCCAGCAATATTTTTTTTAAAGCCCAAAGTAGTTAACAAAAATGTTAAATATGTCACTAATAGCCTCAAGCAGACAGAAAGGCACAAATAATACCTCTAGCTGAGTTTCAAGTCAGAAGAATTATCTACTAGGCCAGTAAGAGTGTCAAACAAGTTATGAAGTCATGAAGGGTGTCAAAGTATTTAGAAGAACAACCAAGGGTCTCAAATATATCAGAAACTATTTCGTATAAGTAGTGAAGGCCCTGACTTGTCAGGAAGAACATAAATGTGTCCTAGATATACCAGATATGACCTTGTTTAGATATACCTAAACAAGTCCAAGTGAGTACTTGACAGGGAGAGTCATAAAAGGCAGTGTCTTAAACTTTTTAGGATTATTCTAGAACATACAGGAAAGGTCTCACGCACATCAGAAAACATCTCAAACAAATCAGGAAGGTTTGGTTTTTTAAAACGGCTCAAAGTTATAATTTTACTAGAGACATGAGTAAACATTTAAGAGCATTTGCTGCTCTTGCAAGTTCAGTCCCCAGAGCCCATACCTAGCTCACAGTCATCTGTAACTCCAGTTCCAGGGTGTTTCCAGGGGATCCAGCACCCTCATCTGGCCTCTGTAAGCACCAGGCACACACAGTGCACCCAGATACATGCAGGCCAACACTTGTTTACAGAAAATAAAAATAAATCTTAAAAGAAGAATTATAATTAAGTCAGGAAGGGTCTCAGAAGGGAAGTGTCTCAGATGTAACAAAGAATGTCACCATAGCAGGAATGCTTATAGTCACAAAGTAGTTTCAAATGTGCCAGGAGTAACCTCAAATGTACCCAACAGAGTAGCAGACTGTTAGGAGATGCTGTATGCTGTGGAAAGAGTCTCAAATGAATCAAGAATCTCAACCAATAAGTCTGTACGTTTCTCAGATTGGTTAAGATGAGCTCCAAACAGGCCAATTTGCATTTCCAACTGGGAGAAGAGTCACAGGTATGTTCCAAAGAGTCTCAGGTATGCAGAAGAAGCTTTCAAAAGGTCAGCAAGGCTCTCAGGCAAGTCAGAAGAGGTGTCACATATCGTGAACAGTCTCACCCAAGTCAAGAGTACTTGGAAAAAGGTCGAGAATGGGCCACACCCAAAGAGTCAAGAGAGTTCTTAGCTCTGTCAGTAAGCCTGAAGAGTCTCAAAAAGCAGCTAGGATGTCAAAGTTGTCCGAAATTGTCTTGAATAATGAAAAAAAGTACACATGTGTCACAAAAGGGTTCATAAATGACAGGGAGCATGTCACAGATACTAAAATAGGAAGAGTGTCTGAACTACTACATACCAGAAAGACAGTAAACAACTTTGGAATAGTGTCACATAGTCATGAAGGGTGTCAAACAAGCCCCGGGGTGTCTCCGAGTCATCAGAAACAGGCCTAAGCAATCAGGAAAGGCCTCCAACATGTCAGCAAGCTCTCCATTGGTCACAGATACTTTCGGTACGATAACAAAAAAGTCAGAAAAAGTGAGAACATCATCTGTCCAAATCTCAGCTGTGTAGAAAAGGGTTTACTACAGGACGAGCCTTAGATCTTGCTGAAAGGGCTTCAGGTTCCCAGGAAGGGATTAATCACATCAGTCTGTATTTCCAACATACCAAGGAGTATCTCAACCATGTGAGGAAGACATTCGGCCAGTCGGAAATAGTCTCCACTAGGCAAAGAATGAGGCTGAAGTTGTGAAGAGGTTTGTTATCTCATGTTATCTCAAGTTGTTAGGAAGGGTCTCAAGAAGTCAAGAAGGGTCTCGAATCTCTTATGGAGAAGTTGTAAGACACAGCTTTAGTAGGCAATACAATGTCCTAATAGATCAGAAAGACCGTTAACTACAGAAGGAAATTTTTCCAATAAATAACTCCAGGTCTCAAACAACTTAGGAAGGCCCCCAAAGATGTTGAAATGTTTCTCACACAGCCAGGAAAGCTACCACATAGGCTGTTATAAAGGGTCTTAAACAAGTCAGGTCACATCTAAAATGTCAGGCAGTGGCTCAGACATGTCATAAATCACCTCAAAACAAACTAGGAGGTGTTTGAAACAGAAGAGGCTCAAATATGTAGGAGTCTCAGAGAGATGGGAACAGCCACAATACATTGGGCATGATTTTAAATATGTCAGGAAAGTTAGCCAAGCTTTCTGAAGAAGTCTGTGGTAGTTAGACTTTCATTGTTGTGACCAAATAGCTAACAGGAACAGCTTGAAGGCAGGAAGCTTATTGCTGGCTCACAGTTTTGTGGTTTCTGTTCATTGTACTTGGTTCTATTGAATCCGGGCCTGTGACATAGGTAGAACATCACTGTGGTAGAAAGCACGCACAGGATAGAGAACAGAACTGTCAGAGAAAAGACAAAAGACAGGATTTGGACACTAAAAACACCTCCCCCCGCCACACACACTGACTTACTTTCTTCAACAGGGCCCCACCTCTTAAAGTTGCCAAGACCCCCCAAATAGTGTCACCAGCTGGAAATCAACTTCTCCATACTGAACTCTTTTGGAGGGGCAATCTGTATCTAAACCACAAGAGGCATCAAATCAGAATGAGTCTCCAAGCTGTCAGGTCGAGTTTTACATATGTCTCAAAGGATCTCAGACAGACAGGGAGACTCTCAGCTACGTTGAAAACCACTTCAACCATTTTCAGAAGATTTCAGTTTCCTCAGATTGTCTGAAATCCATCTGGAAGGGTCTTCAACATGTCTGGAAGGGTTGGTTTGACACAATTTAACAGGAGTCGTCACAGACAGGTGTGGAAGAATCTCAACTAAGTGGGAAATCCAAACAAATAGATATCTCAATTGAGTCAGGAATTGGCTCAAATATGTCAGGAAGAGGTTCTCCCATGAAAGACTTGAATCAAGTTAGGGATGGTCTCTGATAAAGTAGGGAGTATTGCATATACCAGGAAGTAGACATAGTTCATCAATATCGGAAACAAACCTGAGGTCTTCAAACACATCAGTAATCTTAGACAAAGTTCTCGTTCTGTAACAGGACCCTAGAAATTAGGAAGTCTACAGGGAATACCACGGTGGGAATGAAAATGGCCTACCCCAAGAGCCATGGTCCCATGCTCTGGGAGGATTACCCAGTTCCAAAACTTTGACCCAGAAGTACATCTGTATGCACGTTTCCTGGATTTTATAAGAATTGGGTTTTTTCCTCTTCCATGTGAATCTCAGGGATTGAACTCTGGAACTTTGGTTGAAAGTGCTTCTGCATGCTGCCCATCTCATTGGTCCCAGGCAGGGGTAGCCCAAGCTGGCTGATGGTGATCTCAGATGGGGAGACTCTAGGATATACTGCGGATTACCTTAGCAATTTATGGTGATGATCTCCTGCCTTCTGCCTCCTCAGCATATCTCACAGGTATTGGCCACCACAACTAGTTTAGGCTTTTGCTTTGTTTTCTCTTGTAGTTTGTAACACTGCAAGGGGGATTACGAGTGTCTTCTACCCACTTTTGACCAAAAGTGTAAAGAAATTCAGACCTAGAGCTAGGCCTTATGGCCAAAGACGCTAGGAGCAATCTCAAAAAAATCCTTTAGATGGCTGCTCTTGCTTCACCATGACAATCCCAGGCCTTTAGTTGTACATTTGAATGTGCTCAGAATCTCAGAAAGAGCCAGAAATATGTGGCCAATCCATCCCCCATCCACTCCTCGTTGTCCCTCCTCTCACTCGGGAATTCGTTCGGCTGTCTAATGAACAGAAACCCAGGTGGCTCTGATCCGGCTTCCAGGTCGTGGTCAAAGAGCCAGTGTGTGGTTCTTCTGCTCTGCTTCCCTCTCAGCTGTCAGCTGTGCTCTTATCAGTGCACACCCAACCCAAACTTAGAGGCACCTAAGATGCGGGTGCTTTTTTTTTTTAGTAATGCATGAACATTTTAGTAAACACACAAATGAAATAAAAGTGTGATACAAAATATCTAGTTTATCTGATTAGCCCCACAAATAGGGCGATAATTAGGAACTCAGTAAATTGTAAAAGAAAAATGTACATCACAATTTAATAGTGCGAATACAGTTCTCTGATGTAGTAAGGGCTTCAGGACAGTAGAGGAACTTTGGAACACATCCTGCACACTTAAAAACCACTGGCCACCTAGCTTTTTGTGCCCTGAAGCACTCAGGCTGGATGTGGTGGTTCATATTGGTAATTTCAGCAATTAGGAGGTGGAGGCAGAACAAGAGGACTAAGAGGTCAAGGCCAGGAGCTGGAGAGATGGGTCAGCACTGTAGAGCCCTGGCTTATCTTCCAGCAGACCAAATTTGGCTCCTGGGGCTGGAGAGATGGCTCAGTGGTTAAGGGCACTGACTGCTCTTCCAGAGGTCCTGAGTTCAATTCCCAGCAACCACATGGTGGCTCACAACCATCTGTAATGAGATCTGGCGCCCTCCTCTGGCGTGTGGGCATATATGGAGGCAGAATGTTGTATACATAATAAATAAATAAATCTTTAAAAAAAAAATTTGGCTCCTAGCAACCACACCAGGTAACTGGTTTAGGGTTCCTCTGCCTCTGGCACCTGCATGTACCTCCTCATCACATAAACATAACTGAAACAATGTAAAGTAAGCTCGTAAGAGTTTAAAAGCAGCAAGTTAAATACAAATATTTTTTTAGTCACAGAAAAAATAAATTTTCTTCAAATGGGTTAAACTCATCCCATTTGGTCTGCATTGCTCTCCCTACTGCCACTGGACATGCACACAGTGCCTCTTACACTAGTATCCAGGATTAAAAACCTCTAGAAATCCCCAAACCTCTGCTATAGAAGGTGTGGGTGTCTGCTTTGCTCACTTTAGTTAACTGCTCTGCACAAAGACCTTTGTGTAGCCACCCTGAGAATTCAAGGACCAAAAGCAACTTTCCCCCTCTTTACTGCAAGCAAAAACAAAGTCTGGTCTCCTGGTCATACACACAGCGTTGAGAACATATATCACAGAGATATGTAGCAAAGCTTATCCTCTTGGGCTGCCTTATGGCCCTAAGCGTATCCATGAGCTGAGAACAAAGTTGAGAAAATGCGTCTATGGAAATGTTTTCCCACTCGTCATAGCACTCCTGAGGGGCAGGGTACTGCTCCATGGTCATCTTGCTCATGTTGGCTGTGTGGTGGAAAAGGTCACGCAAGAGATTCATGGAGAAGTCATTGCTATAGAAATTGATCTTGGTGAGCTGGGAGCATTGGCTGAGGGCAGGTAGGAGTTCACAGAACTGAGAGTCCTTTATCCTACACCCCTGCAATTCCAGAGTCTCAAGACTGCCTGCTCCCATCTCTAGGAGAACACTGAGAGGCAGAATAGGCACATTGCGCAGTAGGACTCCACTCATGTCCAGATGTTTTAGTTGATGAAGGGATGGACACAGCGCAAAGTCTTTCAAGTGTGACTATAAAACAGGACAGACAGTGAGTGACAGAGAAGGTTTCCAAGGGAGTCTTCAGGTTCCTAGGCAGAGACCAATGGTTAGTTCTGACAAATGATGCTGGAGAGCACGTGTAGTGATTTTACACAACAGAAGGGACATGTATCCCGATGTCACATTGATGGAAGGAAACGTCTATGGTGCTGCCTGTTGGGTTCTGCTCACTCAAGTCACACCCACAGCTGTCACCAGCACTGTGGGATGGGTCAGGGCACAGCTATGCAGCTCCTTTCCTCACTGACCCTCAGAATCCCATGCAGGTTAACATACCCTAGGGTACATAAGGTAAGGACCAACCCATGAAAGACCTGAGCATTTCAGGTGGTTTCACTGCCCTCTAACTTTTCCCCCACCCCTGGGGAATACACAGTCTCCACCCCTGACACTGACCCCAAATCCCACTGTCAGCCATTTCCCATCAGTGCAGTCCCTACTTGTTCAAAGCATTTCCTGCATGGGATATGAGAGGCCCGGTGGTGGCTGCCTACAGTCTGAGCACAGACCACCTGGGGAAAGATGCGGGGATTCTGCTCCTCCACTCTTTTGGTTCCCTTCTTTCTCTGTGCACTTCCCATTAGCTAACCCAGGATTCCAAGGGGGAAAGTACAACATTCTCCCTGAACCTGGCCCTCACAACTGCTTGTGACATACTATGCACACATATCCTACCCCAAATCAGACCTCTGCTTCATGCGTGGTCTTGAGAGACCTTGATTCAATGACACAGGAACATGACCATGCTTAGATGTTCCAACGCCTCCTTCACTATTCTGCAAGGTCCGGCAGATACCAGGCCCACTACTCTTTACATAAAATGTAAAGTTGGTCTGGTAGCAGGAACAGCTCTCTATCCATCCTTACCTGAGCAAGAGTTTCATGTGCTCACTGAAGAAACAGAAGCCTCGCAGATAAAGATGCTGGAGACCGCTGAGTCCGGAAAACTGAGAAGCCAACTTTTGAACAAACTTCATCTCATCTAAGCATGGCAGATAGCAAGCCCCAAATCTGTTCTTATGTCTATACACTAGATAAAGTGTGGAAGGTTTCTCATCTTCAGGAAGTAGGTAGAAAATTGTGCCAGAGTGCACCAACTCCAATCTATGCTGAGCTCCAACACCTTGATGTGTTTTGGTTTGAAAATACTCAGGACCTTCCTGACATTATCTAGGGACAGCAACACAATCTTCACGTCCTCACAGCAGAGCTGGAGCGAGTCTTTTCTCTGCTGGGCCCACTGTAGGAAGTACATTTCTTCTTTCTCCAGTTCGGACCTGAAATTGAGGTCAACTCTCATCTTCATTTGTGGCCTCAGCTCATGTGTAGAAGGGGGCTTCCCTGCTTGCTTCACACTCACAGTCTCTGCTGAGCAGACCCCATCCTCTGTTCCAGTCTGGATGGTTTTGAACTCACAGGGCACCCTCCAAAAGAGTACTCGAAGTTCCCCCCTCGTGGGACAAACCTGCTGAGTCAGCAGGACATCCAGTCCATCCAGCACAGCAGGAAAAATCTCTGAGTCGAAGGTGTTCATTATGCTCTTCACATGGAGGTAGGGGAAAGGCCAGGCTACCACCATTGCCTTCACGATCCCAGTGCATCTGCTATTGAAGGCCTCCTTGAACAGTGCTGGGAAGAGCATGTTGGGCAGCTTCTCCAGAGCAGAGATGGCCAAGGCCTCGTTTCTCAGCAGAGCCCGCCTTGACAGCTCCTCCAGTGTGGGTGGGGTCCCGATGCTCATCCTGTTAGAACAAGAGGTGGAAACTGGAGACCTTGCTTCTTCTTCCAGAGGGCAGACAGTGGCTTTGGGATCTCAATCCTTGGTCGCAGGTGCTGTTTTTAAAGGTTGGTTTTTGATATAATTCCAAGGCTTAGGAATTCTACACAAAGAAAATCTGTGAGCAACACTGACTGCTGCTTTTTTTTTTCCTTAGATAGAAAACCAGCAAGCCATCCTATTGTGTGGCCGTGAAGCCGAGGCAGGCTTGTGGTTCGCAGATTAAATCCACTTTTGGTGGAAAAATAAACAGTGTTGGGCAAGGTTGTCCCCTCTTCTACGTTTCCTGAGCTGTCTTTATCAGTCATCTGTTTACTGCGAGTGTTTTAATGAGCTACTGCCCTAGTTTGCAGCTAACTTTGTGGGGGTTTTGTTTTGTTTTTTAGCTTTTGGAAATGTTGCCTGCACAAAATAGAGGTTTTTGTACTTTTAATAATACACATTTTTGAAAAAAAGAAAAAAGAAAACTGCTACTCTTTTGGACTGTGTTTTAGATAAGGGCAGGGAATGTGAGAGTCAGTATCGTTGGCTAAAGGGTTTGATTCTGGCTGCCATTGCCTTCAGTGTGAAGAATTAAAAAAAATCTCAAAAGGGCACATGACCAGCTCTTTAGTTCTCAAGAATTATTGCATACAAGAGTGGCATTGAATTACAATTTGTCAAATTAATAACCACAATAATTAAAAATAGATGACGTAATTTGATCTCATCAATTATTTTTGAGAATCACGGACTCATGCCAAGGATTTTCTACGGTGAACATGGAGGCCTGAGCCACTTGCTCTTTTCAGCCACCTCAGGAGCTGTGGCTACCAATTGCTCTCTTGCTCCCTGTCCCACCTCAGGCCTGGCCCTACGTGCTGAGCACCGGGAAGCATGCCTAGGGCCCACCTTTCACAGACTCTATTAAGAGCTTTTCTGGTATGTTTCTTTGAAATCCACATCTTTCTCTATGGAGAACACTGGGAAAATACAGACGCTTAAAGCAGTGCCTTGAAGATAGTGTCATAGTTTGGGACTGGGAATCCCAACTGTGACACCAAGGCCAATGGTCTGTGTTTGATCCCCAGGAACCACAAGGTGAAAGGGGAAATATGACTCCTACAAGCTGTCCTCTGACCTCCACATGAACTCGAAACACACACACTCTCTCTCACACCCACACCCATGAACGAACGCACACATGTACACAAACACACATGTATACATGATTGGCAACAGGAGATTCTCATTCATTCTCACCAGGCTTCTCAGACAGCTTCCGGGCTCTGTGCCAGCTCAGCTGAGGTGAGCAACTCAAGAGGGGAAAGGTTTACTTTGGCTCACAGTTTTGGCCTGTAGGCCTATGGCAAGGCAGCATGGCAGAGGAAGCTGCTTGCTTCATGGTGTCCTGGAAGCAAAGAAAGAGACAGGAAGGGACTTCGCTATCCCCTTCAAGTGACCCACTTACTTCTACTTAGCCTGATCTCTTAAAGGCTCCATTACCTTTAAATAGAGCCACATGCTGGGAACCAACCACTTTTTGATAAGCCATTCGAGGTCTAAACTATAGCATCAGACAAAAACATGTATGGATTTATATGTAAAAAATATTCTCAGGGCTCAGTTCAATGTTTGCAAGAATCTGTAAAAAAAAAAAGAAGAAAACAAAAAAAAAAAACAAACAGACACTGCCTTTATTCCCCCAGGTACACATGTAATCCCAACATTTAGTAGGTACAGGCAATAGGACAACAGGTTTGAAGCCAGCCTAGGCTATGTGTTGAGTTCTAGTACAGCCTGAGCTACATAGCAAGATTCTGTCTCAAACAAAACAAAAGACAAAAAAAAAGCCTACTTAAGAGGTGGCAAGATTTCTCAGTAGAAGTGATTGCCATGCAATCTGATAAGCTGAGTTTGATCTCCTGCGCCCTTGTAAAGGTAGAAGAAAAGAATTAGCTGTGCAGACTTGTCCTCTGACCTCCATGTGCACACCATGGCAGTGACCTACAGCTACATCATACAGACACAATAATATTTATTTTTAATTTTTATTTAAAAATCCTCTTATACAATATATTTTGATCATATTCTTTCCCCTCTCCCAACTCTTCCAAAAGCCTACCCACCCAACTCCATGTTCTTTTTCTCTCTCCAAAAACCAAAAAACCCAGGAATACTAACAAAAAATCAAAACAGACAAATTTAAAAAAGAAAAGAAAAAAAAGACACACACAAAAATAGCCAAACAAAGCAAAAATGCATTTAAAAAAACAATGGAGTTCGTTTTGTGTTGAGCAGCTCCCCCTGGCCATGGGGCCTGCTCTAGAGTGTGGTTGATGTACCCAGTGGCACTCCACTGGAATAATAGAATAATAATCCATTTTCTTCTTTTTTTATTTTCTGACAGGATTTTTTTTTTTTGTATAATAGCTCCAGCTATTCAAAGTGGAGCTCACTTTGAATACCAAGCTAGCCTCAAACTCACAGAGATCTACCTGCCTCTGCCTCCTCAGGGCTGGGATTAAAGTCATATGTCATAGCTGTAACAATAAACTTTTAAAATTAATAAAAAAAAAACTAATGGGTTTTCTGCCACTTGATAATAAGTTTCTCTGCTGACAAAGTAAGCCAGATGAAACCAAACTGAAAAAGAATAACAGCAGGTTTATTTGAGCAAAGCAACTCCCAGACAAGGCCAGAGAAACCACACTCACAAATGAAAGCAAGGAGACTTGATAGGCTGTAGGCAAGGGGTGATGACGTGTCTGCCACTAGCTGGGCATGTGCCCAAGTATGGTCAAAAGCTGAGCATTTTAGGTGGGGGCTTGACTGGCTGGCAACTACAGGGGACGAAGCTGCAGTAGCTCCCAAGAGTGCGGAACTGGGCTTTTTGGCACCTTTCCTTTGTTGAGAACCTCTCTGAGTGGCCAGGGTTTAGAGAGCGAGACAGGACTATGGGACTTTTCAGATCATGCAGGGGTGAGCTAGAGTTTCCAACTGAAAACCACTACCTTTTTGAATATATGGTTGCTGGTTCAAATCTGGCTACTTCCTGTTGGCATGGAAGGATGTAGGGAACGGGATGTTGGGCGTCAGGAGTAGGGAATCGGTGGGCTCATGCTCAGTGGGAGATATGGGTGAAGAAGCTTTTGGTTAACCATCAACCTAGAGACTTCACAAGTCTATTTCTGGAGGAAGCAGAGAAGGCAAGTTGCTAGAAGAAAACAGGCAGATTATTACCACCTGAACGGGGCTAGCCATGGGAGGAGTGATGATTGACAGTAAGAGAGGAACGGAGATGTGCTCTGGTTGGATTGATGAAGTTCTTCAGACAGTTTGTGCAGTGACTCAGATTAGTTTCCAGCAGGCCAGATTCGTTGGTACGGAGGCAGCACTCTTTCCCCAGGAACATGTAGGCGGCTGTGAAACAGCTGGAACAGATCTACCCTTGGTGTTGTAGCAAAGACTATGGCTTTGGGTGAAAAGACATGAACATTTTTCCTGAGTCTAGAGAGCCTGGTTTTAGTCCAATAAAATGCACCTTTAAAGCTATACTTAGAAGACAACCAAAGGAAATGTAAAATCTTGAGCTTGTGACTGAATGGTGAGTAGTCCGTGCTCTGCCAGTTTATCAGAGTTGCGTTTGTCAGTGCTGAAACTCGGAGCCTCTGAAATCCCAGTGTAACAATAGCATAGAAAGGGGACATCTTTATACACCCTAAATCATTTCCTAAAACCTTTACAACTTGCATTTATACATCTTAAATCATTTTCTGTGTTTCTAAAATGAAGTTCTTGTAATATCAAGACAAGACTTTTAACTCATAAACATAGTCCATAAAGAGACTGGGAACTTTCCTGATCCTTTTATAGTACACCATCATAGAACACAACTGTTTTCTCTCTGACTTAGCTTACCAAACTAGCTAGAGTTTAACAACATTAGTAAAAGCAAGGAGGTTAGACACCCGTTCCTAAATCGGTCTCTGTTAGCTTGAATAGACCTTAGAGAAGGAGAGATCCTTTGCTAGACTGCTTAGGTCAGCATCTTACTGCATCATAAGATAGGAATACTCAGTCTCTGGGTTAAACTGTGGTTCTAAGTTTTAGCTTTTATTTATCTTTTTGTTAAAATCATATGTTAACAAAGGTATAATAAAATGTCTTATAAACTTTAAAATGTCCCAAAGCCTTATAAGTTTAAGCATTTAAAAAACTGTTTCTTAAAAAATATCCAGTTTATTTAAACTTTCTGTAAAACTCTAAAATTTTCTTTTAATGAAGTTTTAAGATTTTTTCAAGTGTGTGTTTTGGTAAGATCCAACTACGACACCTTTTTATTTCAAGGATGAAGACGCAGAGCACAACCATAATTTGTAGAAGACAAAACCAAGCTTCAACATTATAAACAATTCAGTGTCCCTAAAATCATAAAGCGGTGTTAAAACTGTGCCTCTATGCCTCGTTAGAGCAGCATTGTTTTAAATAGAGCAGCATTGTTTTAAATCCTGCTTTTCACAAACCTTGTTTTCAGGACAGGACAGGAATTATCATACAAAAACCCATCCTAATCCAAAATATTTTAGAGACCTCTTGTCTCCTTGGTAGGCCCACTCCAGGTGTTCACCTTTAATCAAGAAGGTGGTGAAGTCACATGACATCTCCCCCCCCCAAACCTAATTAAACTAGCTACTGCCCACGTGGCTGCACTTGTTTTAGTTAAGATGGTGGGAAACTACGTGTTGTTTCCCAGAACGACTCCAGTTTAGAGTACAAGTTTTAAGCTAACTTTTTGTTACAGTTTTTTTTTTTGTGGTTTTTGAGACAGGGTTGCTCTGTGGTTTTGGAGCCTGTCCTGGAACTAGCTCTTGCAGACCAGGCTGGTCTCGAACTCACAGAGATCCGCCTGCCTCTGCCTCCCAAGTGCTGGGATTAAAGGCGTGCGCCACCACCGCCCGGCTTTTGTTACAGATTTTTAACCA